AAAAAGTATGTCATGGCAACGCATGGATATAGCAGCTCCAGAATGAAGCTGCAGCACTGAGTGAAACCAATAAACCCATACCAGTCAAGGTAAGTTTGCTCCATCTTTTCAAAAACACCATTATCACGACTGCTACGATGTAACACTGCATGTCTACTCCTAGATACCAAGCCGGAAGCAAACACTACAAAAAATCATAAGAATGACAGGTGACAGGTATGTTGTAGGTATTATTACCTGTTCCTGAGGATAGTAGTTCGGAATATAGAGTAAAAAGGCCCACCAATGGTCTATACAATCATCAGGAATACTTGAGAGGTCTCCCCATAAAGGCCCTTCACCGATGTTTGTGGACAGGGTGGTTATCATCAGAACAACCATTGCTAGGACTGGTGTTAATCTACAAAAAACAAATAACAAACATATGAATCAAACCGCGTGTCTCTTTACTTGACGTAAGTATTCATTGTCTTATAAAATACAAAATTACACACGAGAGTACCAACTACATCTGAAATGATATCAACCAAGCCGAAAAAATAGGCTAAAATCATGTGATGAAAAAAAAATTGACAGGATTGAAATTTGATGGTTCGTATTGGAACCTCTGGCGTAAAAGACCAGACCAGAACAAAAATTACGGACTCTCGACCTCAGCGTCCATTGTGAGTCATAATTATGAGTCATAATGATCTACAGAGGGAGCTAGGTTAACCTCATTTTGAGTCATAATGACCTCCTGAGGACGCTAACTTGGTTGACGAAACGCGCAGTGAGAGACCGTAATTTATGTTCTGGTGTTGGAAAAGTGTTTTCTCTAGAAGTTTGAAATTTGCTTAAATTCATCGAATTCAGCAGCCCATTCAGGACAGCGTTTTTGGGACTTTATTTTAAGTGGGGGCAGATGGAATAAAGATACTATGAGAGCATCTCATTTAGTAGATGAGGTACTAAGTAAGAAAAGGATGCCTCGAAAAATGAAGAACGATGGACAGGAATAGAAATCTATCATTCATGTGCTTTGGCAAGGTATTGAGGTAAGGTATTCGGGTAGTCCAGTAGCCAAGATCTTGTTGACAAGATAAGATTGGTGAACGACATGCGATTCATCCAATTTCAAAAGTTGCAGTTTCCTAAAATGGGTGGTGATACGTGCTTGAGGAGGTGACCGCTTTTATAAAACAAATGCATTGATTTTGTATTTTTTGTTCTGCTATGGGCCTCTTATATTTAAGCTGTATAAGCTTCGGAGCTGTATAAGCTTCGGAGCTGTATACGCCCCTTTTTTATACAGGGCTATTCAAATTCGTTTCTGTACATGGGGATCTCGTAAACGATAAGAAACAGAGTGGCGGTTAAATTATGGCAAAGTTGCGTATTTTAGAGACCTATTCAATGATATAAAGAATTCGAATATAGCTCTTTCGGTTCTGGAGATATACAGGAAAAAGACGTCTGTATATATGCGTATTGCATTTGTAGCATCTGTAGTGTTCTGTTTTATTTGTATTTTGTAGAGTTCATTAAACACAAACCTGGATTCAATTGCATCACTGGTTGCCTGCAGTAGAGGTTGCGCAGTAAGCGCTTCTCGGCATAAGCTCAGCCTCAATGAATCTTTTTCCTGAAGTACGAAAAATCACTCACTAGCAGCGCTAGTAGTTCGGTAGGGACAAACACTTCCTAATCCTCATATAAACATATGGTAAAATACAATTAAAAAAGAATGTTTTCAATAGAAGAAGATGTTCCTGGAGCAAAACTGAAATTTGCAACTGTGAAGGATAACAATGTTGTAACATTAAAACGTTGGCTTGCATGCCGTACTTTAAAAGTAACTGGAAAAAAAGTGGATTAATAGACAGGTTAGTATATAGACTCTAGTAAAAGAGTAGCGGTGGATTCAAACTGTAATTTAAAATAATTATGAATTTCAGATTTATTTCCGAGTGGAATATGAATCAAATATATATTTGATTCATATTCATATACAGCGTGACTCACGGTCGATGGTAGGTTAGACGTTTCTGGAAAACGCAAAGCATAATTTTTCTGAAAATTTCACCTCTCACATTTCCTTACCTGTTCTATCGATCTAAAATATTTTCAGCACTGCGGCGTTGCCACTTCTATCAAAAAGTTCTATTTTTTTTTAATGGAACACCCCGTATATTAATACATTTTTGGAATCGCTCTAGTATTTTAATACTTTTTTGTTAATAATGTCCTATACCTATCTCTATCTGTTTTCGAGATAAAAAATAAATTGTGCCAAATATGGTCCAAAACATAGCCTTAATTGAAATTAAGTACATCAGTACTCTCAATTCATGAAGAGTTGATATTTTGATGATAGTTTGGACAAACTCGAAATATTCAAACACCAAGAAATCGACTCCATATCATACAGGGCGTGCTAAAATTACTATCATTTCCATTGTGCATAAAAGTAGTCGAAAGTTCATTTTTTCTAATGAAACCCCCTGTAAATTACTCGACAAATTGAAAGATGGTGAAAAATGCTTCAGAATGATATACATGTCCCTATACCTAAATAGTCAAGTTTTCTTAATAAAGCCGTTTTTATGGAAAAATAGTTATTCACGTTTTACCTACAAGTGTTGAAAGTGGCATTTTATTTTGTGAGTGGGG